ATATGGAAAGTACGCTACTGCGCATAGAAGTATTATATAAATATAACGGTTGTCTTGGGGAAAAGCACTTGTACAATTGGTTTATGAGCTGAACTAGCCACTTGTTTCATGGAACACCATTTTTACTTGAAAAAATAACTGATGGATAAACTATGGTTATTCAGATTTGTCTATTTGGCAGATGTTTTATCAAACTTGAACCAAGTAAGCCCATCACTGTGAGAAAAATAACTGATAGTATTTGTTGCCAATGATAAAATTTGAGCTTTCAAGTAAAAATCAGCATTTTAGAAAATTTGTATGTGCTATCATGAAATTGCTAGATTCCCAATACTTAAACTTTTTCTGAAATTATCAAATGTGATTTTTAAATATTATATAATGAAATGCATCAATATTTGAAATATCTGTATAATTTAGTGAACCAATATTTTCCAAATGACCAAAGCAGAATGTTACAAAATCATGCATGGGTAAAACTGCCATTCAAAGGGCAAGGTAGATCAAAGGACTTTAATGTAATCGAGTACGAAAAGTTCATCGATGTAGTTTCATAGTCTACAACTACCATTTAAGAAAATACTACTTGTTGAGTTTTGGTGTAGAATCAAAGAAAAACGCCACAATTATCCGAAAAGGCTATTAAAATGCTCCTCTCTTTTCCAACTACATATCTATGTGAGGCTGGATTTCCTTCATATATTTTAACCACAACAACATATTTCCAGCAGATTGAATGCAGAGGCAGATATGAGAAGCCAGTTGTCTTCTACAGTATAAAGCCACATTCAAGAGATTTGCAAAAATGTAAAACAAAGCCATTCTTTTCACTAGTTTTTGTTTTAGAACATAGTTACTTTTCATAAAAATACATTATCTATGTTAACATGTAATGGGCATATTCTTTTTTAATGAATGAATAGATATTTTTTAAAATTCTTGGTGATTTCTAATATGTTAAATATCAATAGTTATAACCTACCTAAAGAAAAGCTCTTTGGAGACCTCAGTTTTTAAGAGTGTAAAGTGATCCTGAAACCAAAGCATTTTAGAGCCACTGGTATAGAATGAGCAATGTGTTTACTGGCTGCCCATCTAGCTTGCCCCAGGGATGCTATAATATGTTATCAACCATCTTCACAGCTCTCCTGGCCAGGACCCCTTACTGCCACTCCAGCTCATTACAATCGTTGTGCCAGTGTCTGGCTTCTGTTATTTTATGATTCTATCATCCCCACTGCTATCAGGGAGCCAGTTCTAGAATGGCCTTTTGTTGTCAGGCCTGGCCTACAGAGGACAGCCAAAACTGAGCTTCTCAGGGATGCTGGTACCCCTCTCACTAGTGCATTCCTTGTTGCTTTGATAACCAGAGTATCTTCTGGGACTTCCTGCAGAACTTAAGTGGTTTCTGGCCTTACATAGAACACCCACTATAGCGTGCTCACTTCTCTGAGCTATTTGAATCCTTCTTCCACATTCTGCCATAACAGTTCTGGCATTTCCATTGTACTTTGGTGGGCCATTGCCTTTCTCCTGTCTCCCAGGATCCTTGTCAGGCTATGAAGTCCTGATTCATAGGAGAGTACTCCTGTCACAATAAAGTGTCCCTATTCAATTTACTGTTCAGCCCAGACCTCACCTTGATCTAGCCTATGCCTCCAGCCAGTATATGTTGGCTACCTCTGCAGCTCCTTCAGGGTATAGCCTTCCTCTTCCCTAGCAGGCCCTTGAACACTTCTGGCTGGGTTTTGTTGTAACTTGGCTCTATTTATTGGTCTTGTAGGCCAGAAGAGAGAGGCAGCTTCTTTTGGCACCGGATGGCAATGCCCAGGGATGTCGCAGGTGTGAGCCATTGGCAGCCAACACTCCCAGCAACTGGAGGGATGAGCACCTCCATCCTGAGGGTGACCTGGATGGTACCCCACAACAGCCACTACAGAGACAAAGTTCAGCTTCACCTATGAGGCAGAGTAGAGCAGGGATCAAGAATCTAATGCCCCGGAGTCAGGGATTTGAATTCTATCTAGTGTGTGACCTTGGGCAAGTTCCTTAACCTTTCTGAGGCAGTTACTTCAACTATTAAATGAAGACAAATAGTACTACCTAATTGGTTGTTGTGAGAAAAACGAGACAAGGAATGTAAATGCTTAATATAGTGCCTAGCACATACTAAGGGCATCATTATAGCTGCTGTTAAAATTGGTCCGAACTTTCCAAAGCCTGAAAGAGCTGCCTCGGGACAGACAATAAGGTACACATATCATCATGGATGGTCTTCTAGCTGACACTGGAGAGTGTTCCCTGGGGATGTTGTAGAGGAGGCTCTGGGGTCCCTAGCGGTATTCACAAAAGATGGCCTTTGGGGCCCATTCTGTCCCCATGCTGCCTGGATTCTCTGATTTCTCTAATTCACGCCAACCCTTAGTAGGGGAGAGGCATTTACAGAAGCATATTCACTTTCAGGCCACTAGGGGGCCATTTAGTTGCCTGCACAGGAATACTCTAATGGTTTCTTAATGGCTCAAGCACCAGGAAGATCAGGCTCAATTATATCTGAAAGCATTTTGAGTTCCTGGGGTAGAAGACACTATGTAAATCCAGATAATAAATAGGGTTTATTGATGACAGGTTAAAGAATCTGGCACTGTTGAGTTTGGAGAACAGGGTGAGAGGAATTGAATAACCGCTTCAAGTATATTAATCTTTGGTATAGAAGAGTGACATGCTGTTTTCCTACTCCACTGGGAATCAAGCAGGAAGGAAGTTTAATTTGCAGCAGAAATATGGAAATGCAATATGGAGTGCATTCAAAAAAGGGGATCCAAGAAAGCTTTGCACTGATCTTACCTAGAATGTTTAAGAATAATCCACCTTGGGATGGTTGTATGAACAGTCCTGCCAGGAAGCCCAGAAGAGCCCGAAGAGAGGACAACTTCCAGACACAATTCAGGGATTTTTAACTCAACAGGCCACCCTGCTACACTGGCTCTGGCCAACCTGGGAGCAGGATGGGGGAAGGAATGGGTTATTTTCTTCCCCATCAGCCCATAGAAGGCAACACTCCCGACTTCCAATATGCTTGAAATTTCTCAGAAAGTAAAAGGGCAGGCTTTTCCTTGAAATAGCATCCAGCTAGCCATTGCTAGTAGCAGACCACATCTGGGCCTCCATCAGGAATGGGATTGGATTAGAGGCATGTGGTTCCAGCAGTCTACCAGCACACTCAGCTCTGGTAGGCATTTGCCTTCTGTGCCTCTGAGGTGGCAAGGCAGCAGTGTTGGGAAGGGGCTTCCTCATGGGGGCGGGGGGAGGAGTGAGTGTCTGGAAGCCAAAGGTTTCTGGAGGAGGAGGGGAAGTGGAAAGGGAAGAGGGGGTCCTGGCCACCAGGGTCACACTCCCAAGGCAGGAGGCCGGAGGGAATTCACCCACAGAAACCCATCAGGACCACAGTCCTGTACACAACACACAGGCAGCCACAGTCTCCCTCATCCATTCAGACACCCAGGCGGTTCACACACCCAGTTCTGGGAACACAGGAAGTAGGATTCAAGGAGGAAGAAACCAGAAATTCTGGAAAGCCTTATAGAGAGGGAATGGGGAGGAGAGAAGGCAAGGAGAGAGGAGGGTGGAAGGAGGGAGGGGGCACAAGAAAAGCGGCAGCATTGAGAAGTGTTGTTAGCACCCAGGAGATCCAAAGCCAGGCACAAAGCCCACCGCCTGCCCCCCACCCTGCCTGGAGCCGGGGAGGACAAATCTCATGGGAAGGAGTAAGGGAAGTGGGGACAACCGCCCAGGCTTTGAGGCCGGGAGAGGATCAACAAGGGCAAACGCTCCAGGAGCCCTGGGAGCCAAACTCCACCGGTTCCGTGCTGCCTCTTGGTTCCAAATCAGTGCCAAATCTGGCAGTCGGAAGACCCAAAAAGCGGGACCTAGGACCTATTGTGAACTTCGGGACTCCGGCGGCAGACGAGTCTGGAGAACCAACTCAGTCCGTGGCTCTGTCCCTGAGGTTCCGGGAGGTCTGGACAACCTGATCCCGGGGCTCTAAGAGGACAGGGAATTGGGAGAATTCCAGCAGACCCCCGAAGCCCAGCCTGGTTCCGGGAGAAGGAACACGACCAGGTGTGTCCTCAGTGCGCGCTCCGGGTTCCTTGGCTGCCCACACTGGATGTGAGCCAGGTTCTTTAGGTGTGAGGGGGCCTAGGAGACCCGCCCGGGGTGATGGTACGTGGAGCCGAGCGCGAGCCGAGAGCGTGAGCGTGGTGTCACCCCCACTTCAGGAGGTAAACCGAGGCTGAGGTCCGAAGCCGCGGCTGCTATTCCACATGTCACTTCTGAGCCTCGGGGGCGGGCGGGGAGGTGCCAGAGTTGACAGCTCTGCGCTCCGACAGCCCCTTCCGCCCCCCTTGCAGTTCCGCACTCCGCCCGGCACAACGCCCCCCTTTTAAAGAAGCGCCCGGGGCTCTCGTTTTCGCCGCGCCAGCCCGCGCGGGGCCGCTGCTACGTCGCCCCTTTAAGAACCAGCCTCCCTTAACTCCCTCTTAACGGGGCGTCCCGGTGGGGCTCGCGGCGCCCGACTGCAGCCCGCCTCCCCGCGCGGCACTTCCGGACCCCGGCGTCGCCCTTTTAAGAGGAAGCCCCCAGCAGCGCTCTCCCCCGCCCCCTGTTGCCGGCGCGCTGGGCGGGGGAGCCGGGCTGGAGCCGAGCGCGCTGTCCGCGCGGCCACTGGAGACCGGGCGGCCGGCGGCCGGGCAGGCGGCGGCAGCGGCGGCAGAGCGCGTGGCGGCGGCGGCGGCGGCGGATGGGGACGCGGAGCCGGGCGGCTGTGGCGGCTGTGGCTGTGGCGGCGGCGGGGAAGCAGCTGACGGGTCGGCGGCGGCGGCGGCGCTGGCGGCGGTGACTGGTCCAGGCCCCGGCGGCGGCTGCAGCGACGCGGTGGCGGGCTGCGGGCGGGCGGCGTGAGGAGCCGCGGCGGAGCGCGGAGCCGCCGGGAACCGAGGGCGCCGGGCTGCCCCCTGCCCAGTCCTCTCAGGCCGCCAGGCCCCCTCCAGCCGGGGCCGTGGAGCACCGGGGCAAAGGCCGGGGCCCCCCCATGAAGGAGCGCGACGCGGCCCCGGCCGAGCGGGGCAAGCCGGCCACCTACACCGGGGACAAGAAGGCGAAGATGGCGGCCAAGACCAACAAGAAGTGGGTCCGACTCGCCACCGTGTTCGCCTACGTGCTTTCCGTGTCGCTGGCCGCCATCGTGCTCGCCGTCTACTACAGCCTCATCTGGCAGCCGGTGGGCGCCGGGACCTCGGGGGGTGCCGCCGCCCCGCCCGCCGGCGGCTCCAACGCCACCGGCCCGTCTGGGACTTCGGGGGCAGCGGCGGCGGGGCCCAACACCACCGGGTTGTCCCGCCGCGAGGCACCGCGCGCTGCACCCCCGCTGCAAGCGGCGCGGCCGGTGCCTCCGGAGCCCCCGGTAGACAGCCCCCAGGCCGGGCCGCTCGAGCGGCCGCGTGGGCCGGACGAGGATGAGGAGGAAGCGGCGGCGGCGCCCCGGAGTAGTTGAGCCCATCCGCGCTGGGGGCGTCCGGAAACAATTCTCCCCAAGCCCGGAGGCAGGACTATACAGCAGGATGAGGCAGGGAGCCCGCGGGAGTGACCCCCACGAGAGTGAACGCGCCCCCTACACCCCTGCGATCACAGGCTCGCCCCGGGAGTGGCCCGCAGCCGATCTTCAGCCAAGGGACCACGATTCGCCAGGGACTCGGGGTTTGGTCTTCCCAGGACCGTGCTGTGCCAGGGCCCTGAGCCATAGGGGCGTGGGGGGAGGGGTGGGGAGATCCCAGCACCGAACCCTTCTGCGGCGCTAGCTCTGGTGTATCCTATGTGCCAGGGTGACTCGGGCTTTCCCCCAAGACTCAGGGGAAGGAGGGAGCTGTAGGGGCTCTTTTTTTTAATAATCTGAAGCTCTCGCAAGAAGGAGGGCAGCAGAAGTAGTGGAGCTCAGGTACGTCAACCTAGTTGCAGTGGCCAGAGATGCATTTAATTTATAGATCCCTGTATATAGTTGTTGACATATGCACTAGAAGCTATAATCACATAGAACTCTGTGTATGCTCCCACACACTGGGTAGCTGCTGACTGCTCGGGTCAAGCAAGGGCTATTTGCTGGCCCCTAAGTGCACCTAGCCAGAAGGGCATAGGCACGGCTTTTTTCATCACCCTCTCTTTCCCCGTCCCCCTTCTGTTTCTGAAAGATAAGTTTATGACATTCTTACACAAGAGTATAATCGTTCTTAGACTGTTCACAGTGGAAAACCTTAGGCAAAGTAGAAACAGTTTAGGGAGGATGAGGAATGTACTGATCCCCTCCTCTTCCCACCCTTGTGTCCCCACCAAAAAGGCTTCCTGTTGCAGCCCTAAGTATCTGGATATGGGCCAGGGAGGAAGGAAGGGAAAGAGCAATGCTGCTATGCTTCAATCCTGGCTTTCCCTGCACAGAATTCTTTTAGGAAGAACAAGCTTTTGTAAGTAGAGTGACTGGCAAGTGTTTTATCTTTTTTTTTTTTTTCCTGCTCCTCAAGATCTTGTCTTGTTCCAGTAATCACCTTTGCCTTCCATCTTTCCTGAGCCTTTAGTGACAAAGCAGCCCTGTGACTGGGATGAAATCTGTTGTGACACCAGAGCTTTGATCACGGGTCCTCTGGTTTTGAGTTATACTGCAGAATCAGAAAAGCTGGAAGGTGGGCTTCAAACTCAGGATTGTGCTTTGAGAGCCAGTTAATAGGGCAGCCATGGGATGGTTGAACTGGCTCGTCTTTACCTTTCCTGATAAGCCGTACTTAAATGCAGCCTGTAATTTTTAAAGGAAAAGAGAAACGTTAAGAGAAATGACATACGTATAGCTCTGGGGCATCAAGAATTATACTTCTTCAATTTTGATTCCATTTCCTTCTGCCACTTGCTTTTAGGCAATTGAATGTGGGTAGTGATGAGATATCAAACCCCTTAGTGCTTCCTTTTTGAGAAATGAGGCACTTTTTAAAAAAAAAAAAAAAAAAGACAAAAAACTTACCCACCTGAGTCCTGAAACAGTTTGTCTCTCCAGTTTTCTTGCCTACACTCTGGTTAGCTCTGATCCAAGTTTACAGGACAATAGCCTTGTTTTAAGCCATGTCCTGTTGTGGGCAAGATAATAGCAATTGAGCTGTCACAGCCTACCAGCAGGCTCACAGCACCTCCAAGTTCTCTTGGCTAGAGATTTCTTAGCAGCTGACTAGGACTTTAATCATTAGGAAGCCCATGAGGCCTTTAAATTTTTGGTGGGAGACTGGGGGAAAAAACATAAAATGCCACTTTATAACTTCAATAATAGCCTGTAATTTATATTTACTGTGTGAATTTTTAGTCCTATATTTTAATAATTTATAAATTGATCTCTTATTCCAAGAATCCTTTGAACTCATATGAGAATATCTGGGAGTCCAATCCCCTGTCCCCTTCCTGACCCCTGCTTTCTGGACTGTTTAAATCCACTTTGGGATGGATCAGAGAGTCTAGAGAGAGCACTCGTGGGTCCAGCTGCTGGCCTCCGGACTCTCTAAAGCCTTCACTGGAATTAGGACATTTGGTCTAGCCCTAGCTGTGAACATGACCAGAGACATTATTTGTAATTCAGCCATTTAAGATATTCCTGTACTCAAAAAGTCCTGTATATTTTTTAAAAGTTTTATTTTTCAGGTGAACAAAAATACATTCTAAGAACTCTGCCTAAGTCTGTGTATGTTGATCGGTTCTCTTACTGTGCTTCGTGGGAAGGAGCAGAGGTTGGAAGAGTAAGTGGTCCGAGATGTGAGGGATGGATGGTGATGAATAGGTTTAGGAGGAAAAAGCAATTGCCCTGCTGTTCTTGGTGCCTGATGGCTTGAATGAATTCATGAGCCGAGGTTGGCAGAATCCATCTTATTGGGAAAGTGATCATGGAGTGGGAAGAACAGTCACCTTTTGCCAATCTTAAAAAAGCTGAGAAGAAGTTCTGCTTTACAGGACTCTGAGCAGAACTGATGAAGCTAAGAGACCAGTAAGCATGAATATTAAGATTCATCAGCAAACATTTAGCTGGCTGAGCGCTGAGGTGAGGATAAGCTGCCTGATAGCATCACTGTTCTCACCTTTAAACTATTGGCCTCTAGATAGTTCAAAAAGTGCTAATGCCAGGAAAGACAAACGTGTGTCTGCCGCCAGGAAAGACAAACGTGTGTCTGCCGTGCTTGGTCAGAGCTTTGTCTACCATGGGGGAGGCAAGAGAGCCAAGTGGCTGAGAGGTGTGGGTTGCTTCAAAGGTGAGGCTTTTTTCTCCTTAAAGCAAACAAAAAAACGTGGGTGAAAAGCACAAATATAAGGGATTAGTTATGCTGCAAAATACATGGTAAGCAATTGAGCTCAGCTCATTATTAGACAATGCTGCCCAGTACAAATCTGGAGTGAGAAGCCCGTGTCAGCGGGCCCCCTGAGGCCTGCACTTCAGCAGAGCTGTAGGGGGGGTAGCTACTGTTCTTTTACATCACCTTGTAGTCTGCAGGGAGGCATAGAAAAAGTCCGCCCTCCTTTTATTTCCCTCTTCAGCCTACACAATGGCTTTCTGTGAGAGGGCTTGGTATGGCAGAGCAGAAGGGGAGTGAAAGAGTTTCCGAGGCTCTTGTAGTCACAGCCCCTCCTTTCTGCAGACTGCGACATGTGGCTTCTGCAGCTGCACACGGCTTCACATGTTGGGCACATAGAGCAGTACGTGCATCAGGAGCCTGCTGGCTGATGAGAACAGGGCCTGGCTGGCTGGGGAGCAGTGGTCAGAATAGCTTTATTTTCAAGGGTTAGAACTTAGCTGCAAAACTGTCCATGAGGTTTTAAGCCAGGAAGGAGAGGTCTGTGCAAATGGGGGTTACTTTCCTTCAACCACTCTGCACTTGGACTGCCAGGACCATTTCTAGGTCTGCTTATATTAGAAGTTACTATGTATATTTATTCGCCTGACAGCCCAAATTTGAAGGAAGAGATATCCTCTTTGAAAGTGACGTTTTGGAGGGTGGGGTGGTCAGGGAGCCCTTTTAGACTGAGTTTGTGAAGGTATCTTTTCTTTCCCCCATTGGTGTTGAGGTGCAAAGAAGTGTCTCTCTGAAGTTTTAAGCATAAGAAATATTTCTCTTCCTAATAGCTCTAGACTTCTACATGGTATGAGACCACAGTTTTAGAAGCTTTTCTGTCTACCTTGTTTATCAGTTTTCACCGGGGAATTCTAAGATAGCGCGTTCTTCGGTTGAGTATTTATATCTTGTTTTGAAATACTGAATGCAGAGCAACTACTTGTTTCTACACGTTTCTTTAAGGAGAACTGAAAGGTCTGGTCACAAGCGTTAGGGCTACCACCGCTACTTAAAAGAGGTAATAATTGTCCTCCGTTTCCTGTCTGTAGAGAGTGGAGGTATTTCTGGAATTGCAATTCAGTAACAAAGGGCTACAACTGTACTATTTTTTTTCCCCCGGTGTCCCTTGGTGGAGGGAGGGACAGTGGTGGCTTTGCTCGTTTCTCATGACCAGTGCTAACTCAGTACCTGCTCAGAGTAGACTCATCACTTGGTTGATCACCATGTTGGATGGGCTTGGCCTTACTGTCATTGTGGTGTCCCTGTCGTAATGCCCTTGCATACCCACATCCATAGCCCATAATCTGGTTCAAGGTGGTGGGTTGCTAAAGCGAACTCCTGCAAATCGTAGCTGCACTCATCTCTCTGGCCTCAGTTTCTTCATTTCCAAGTTGAGGGACTCAGGCTTGGCCTTCCTGTTCTTGCCAGGTGCCAGAAGCCTGCAGCTCTCTTCCATGTGGTGCTTAATGGATGTGACCCATTCATTGTCTCCTCTGTCCCAGCCAGACGGCCTAATATTGGCCATAAAAATACCTGCTGTCGAAAGTTTTTTGGTCACATCTGTTTCATTTGCTGACGCAGCCTGTGGTTTGCTGTTGCCAGAAAGCCTGTTATGCTTCTTGTTCCCTCCAGTAGCTAATTAGAGAGGGGGAAAAAAAAAAAACAACTTCTCTCTACCTCACACCCAGGTCTACCAGGCTCTCCATCCCAAATGCAGAAACAGCCATGGCACCCAGTGATACACCTTGCACGTGAGCCACCTGGCCAGGAGGGAGCACTCTGGCCAAGTCAGCCTCCCTGGGCCCCATTCAATTCTATAAACATTTGTTAAGCTACTGCTAACAGACCAGAAAATGACCACACAGTTCTTGCACTCGGGGAACTGACAGTCATGCCCACAAGAGTCTTCTCTTGTTAAACTACCCCATTCTCTTAACTTTAGTAATCTGTTTTTGCAATAAAGCTTATCAGTTAAATAGCAATAAGATTCTAACTAATAGTGTTAGGAATATTTTCCCCAAGTCACTGCCATTAATTCAAAAACTATTTATTCAGTGTGTACAATGTGCCAACTGAGCCTCAAAAGTCCCCAAACCAACTTGTCCAAAAACAGCAATTGTGTTGATTACCAAGAATTTCCTTTCAAACACATATACTTTTCTCTGCTACCTCAGTGTTGGGGGTCATTAGTTGAGGTCTCCCCTGAATTGTGTCCTGGAGGCCCACCTGCCCCTCAGATCCCCACTGGTAGGCTGGGCAGTGTTGAGTCACAGAAGCCAGTCTCCGAGCTGTAGGCAGCTCACAGCATCATGAGGACTTGGGTGGGGAGACAGAGTGTTCTTGGGAAAGACCCCTGCCCTGGAAGACAGGAGACCTGGGGGACTCGACAATGGCATTAGTTAAGGCCTTTGACCTCTCTCTTTTCTCCTAACCAAATGGGAATTCATGAGAGCAAATGGAGGTCATAGATGTGAAAGGGCTTTGAGATCTTGGGAATACAAGTATATTATGTACACATGAAGTAATATATTTTCAAGGGAATGTCTGTCCCTTTGGGGAAAAAATGATGCATGGAAAGAAACATGAAGGATTGGGTAGTAAACATTATACCAGTGCCCAGATCAACAGCATCAGCATCACCTGGGAATTTGCTAAAACGATGACACCTTAGTTGGCCCATCCCAGGCCAACTGAGTAAGAAATTCAGCAAGTGGAGCCCCGTATTCTGTTTTAACCAGCCTTCCAGGTGATTCTGATGCACCCTAAAGTTTGAAAACCGCTGGCCCAGCCTTGCCTTCTGATTCAGTAATTTAGGGTTTGGATAGTTCTGTTTCAACACATGGTTATCCAGGTGACTTTTAACCCTTTTTCTTGGTTGAAGCCAGCTGCCCAGCTGGGGGAAGAAGAAACACTATGTCTGCAGTGTCTGTAAAAATCCTACATTATCCATTATTTTTGACAGTTGCCAGAGAACTTGCCCTGGAGAGCTTGTTAAGAAGGAGGCAGGCTGCAAGAGCCGCTCCCCGCCCCCCAAGGTACTGATGTGTTTGCCTCACCTCCTGCCCTGAGGCCTGCTGCTTCTGCAGCCAGTCCTTAAAAGGAGCAGTGGGTGCCACATTTGTTCTTTCTGGTGCCAGGTCTGTGCTATGTCACTTCCCCGGCGTTGAGTGGATGCTTAATGAGAGGCTGTGACGTAGGCCCAGCAGACTTGTTGAGAGAAAGCAGCCTCAGCCCATGCTTTCCGCTGTCTCCTCTCATTCCTTTCCCAACCTTGACTTCTCCCCTCTGTGGGATTGTGGTCAGCCTCTGTCAGCCCCTCCTCATAAGCCCTGATAACCCTTGTGCAGGAGGAGATGTCTGTGGGGTCTGTGGACACTGATAAATGACTCAAGAGACAAGTGAAATGGTGTCTTTAGTTTCTCCTATTCCTTTCCCCCCTCTCCCCCTGGATTTAGTCCCCAAAATAAGAAGATGTGGCTATGTGGGGATTTTTGCCATTTCCTTTGTTCTTTTGGGGGCTAGTGCTGCCTTTTCCTGGTATTCCTGTCCCTGGAGCCAGGGTTGGGGCTGGAGTTGGCCAGTGGTCAGACCTTCCAAACTTGTACCTTGTTAGACAGCTGGGGATCCCCTGCTTCCAAGGGTCCCCAACCGTCCCCTGACCATATCAAAATGCAGGCATGCTGCTCCTTTGGGTGACAGAACGTAACCCTGGGAGGCATGGCACAAACTCTGCAAGGAGGTTCATTTCTGGGGTAGATGAAGAAGCAAAAGCCGTCATGTGAGTTTGTGAGATTGCTGCTGATGTAAACAGAATAAAAGAGGACCCACTCTGAGCTGTGAGAGCCAGTGTGCAGTGTTCAGGGGGAAATGAGCTAGAGCCAGTGGGCAAGGACAAAGACCACTCCCTGTAAAAGCAGGGGCACTTTGTGAAGCTCTTGACTCCATTAGACCACCCAGGGCTTTAAAAGAAGCCACCTGTCCAGGAGGGCTGGATAAACCTTACAAACCACCCCTTGCTTCCCTGGGAGTGCACTGACCCCCAGTGAAGATGAGGCTAGAAGAGAAGGTAAAGAAAAAGATAGAAAACAAAGTGGACAGAGGTCACACCAATAGCTACTTCATTTATTCAACAAATATTTATTGAGTGCCTTTTGCGCGACAGGCCACTGTGAATAGAGTCTACTGTGTGCTGCGTGCATACTCTTATCTTCGATTTTCTCAGAAACCCTTCAAAGTAGGTATTACTAGCTTCGTTTTGCAGGTAGAGAGACTGAGACTTTTGGAGGTTAAAATTGATCAAGGTCACCCAGCTGACAGATGGCAGACCTAGGGTTCGGATTCAGTCAGTCAGATTCCAAGGCCTGTGCTTATTCCATTTGACCACGCTGCCTGTCACCTAAACACATGTCTTTCTTGCAGTCTGGTCTACTGCATTTCCTTTCTGCCATCTGTCAGAGATGGGCTTGCGACGGAGAGGCCTCTGCCTGTTCCACCCTCCTTGCTTCAAGGCCTTAGGGAAAGCTATCATCTTCCTCCTGGCTCCTTCCTACTCTGTGTGCCTTCCTTTCTCAGTTCCTCCAGCACTGGGCCTGGGCTCCTGATAGCTGTGATTGATGAAGACCTGCCATCTTTGAAGAGTAGTCTTGTCTATTGGTTGGAGAGGAGAAGGGCATCCAAGAGGAAGACTCCCGGCCAGGCCTTTAATTGAAGGAGCCAGGAAGAGATACAACCAGCTTTCCATGACCCCAAGGCCTGTGGAGGGGTGTCTAACACACTTCCCTCCTGCTCCATAGCTGGTTCCATCCTAGATCAGGAGCGGTGGCTACAATCTGGACAGATAGCTGGGGGTCACCATGATAGCTATTGATTCCCTTAAAGAGCTCTCCTTTCATGAGAAAAGCTCAGTGTTACTGCAATGAAGACATCCTGGGCCAGTCGCCATTCTCTCCAACCCCTGGTGACTTTGGTGACATCCCTCCTATCATCCAGGATGTTACTCCCCAGAGAGAAGCCCTGTATCTCCATAGCCCTTCTGCCCAGCTTTCTCTCCTACTGTGCGGGCTGAAGCAGAGCTACCTGATTCCTACATCCTCACTCCAGGGTCAGACGTGCCCTGGCTTATACCCTCTAATGAAGGCACAGCTGTACAGTTGGCAGCATTGGGGTTTGGGAGCAGTCTGTGAATTTTGAATCTTAGAATTCAAATTCTTTTTTTTTTTTTTTAGAGACAAGGTCTCACTCTGTTGCCCAGGCTGGAAGACAGTGGTGTGATTATAGCTCACTGCAACTTTGAATTTCTGGGCTTGAGTGATCCGCCCACCTCAGCCTCCCAAGTTGCTAGGACTATGGGGGTGCACCACTACTCCCAGCTAATTTTTTTTTTAATTTTTTGTAGAGACAGGGTCTCCCTATGTTGCCCAGGCTGGTCTCAAACTCCTGAGCTCAAGTGATCCTCCTGCCTCACTCTCCCAAAGTGCTGGGATTACAGGCATGAGCCACCGCACCCAGCCAGAACTCAAATTCTTGATCACAATCATTTCTGGAGACACCTGAATTCAAGGGCTCCACCTGAACCCACTCTATAGTGGCCCCATCCTTTGGAATTCATGGATTCCGGGGCCTGTGCCACACTCCAGAGATGTATACTTGTGACTGGAAGGCAAGAGAAAAACTTGAGCTTGGACTCTTCATCCATAGCCTAAGTATGTCTCACATACATAGGAATGTTTCCAAGCCTCTCCAAAATTTCTCTGATCAACCCCACACCAACCTCTTCCACGCCCTTCACCCCATCCCATTCCTGACCAGCTCCCTCGCTGTGCACTACGAGAAGTGGGCACCACCTACTCACTGCCCTCTAAAGCTTCTTCCCCAGGACCCTCAGCCTCTCACCCAATTCCTGTCCCCACCACCTGGCAGGGGGTAGCACTCCCCCCAACACTTACACAGCCAGCAGCACACTTTGGAGTCTAAAGTCTGTCTTCACCTCCAGCCCTCTGTATAGTATACTGAAGTCCAAACCCTCACTACACGAGAGCATAGTCCAGGAACCAGCAGCCCCCAGACCGACTGGATTAGAATCTGCATTACTCTTCATGCTAAAGTGGGAGAAGTTCTTCTCTAAACAGTCTGATCTGCTGAAGAGATACCACCCCCAGCCTCCCCAATAGAGGGGTGGAGGATGGAGCTGAGAGACAGTGAGGAAACCCAAGCTGAGACCCCAAGCTTTAGGCTTCTCACTGAATAGTGCAGAAGTCCTGGGTTGGATCTGGATTCTTGCTAGAGCACGTGAGACCCATGACCCTCAGCAGAGAGGGACAGCCATGGCAGGACCAGAGAGGAGGGGAGCAGAAGGGACCACATGGTGAGACCCAGGCAAGGGCTTAGGGCAGAGGACAGGATAACAAGAAGGAGGAGCACCTGCCTCTGCCAAGCAGCAGTGGAATGGTTCCTCTGGGCTCCTACCACCATCCTGCGCCCAGCCCTGGTCAGGCACCTACAGCGAGAACAGCTCCCACTGTCCAACCTGTATCTGCCGGATGACTGGGTTTCTTCCCTTCCTCTTGCTGGCAAAGTCACCATCGCCTACAGGCTGGATTTCTGGTAGTGGGTGCTCAGGAAATGTTTGTTGAATTGAGAGGAAGCCACAGCTTGTGCGGAGTCTGGATAATTCACCAGACGTGGGCCTCAGGGGAGGGGCCGGAACGGAGACTAAGCAGGAAAGATAAGTCCTGATGTCATGCCACTGTTTCTCCGTCTCTTGAGTCCCTGTCTGAGTCCTTGCTTTTGCATGGCCCTGGTGTGGGCAGTGGGGAAAAGAGAAGTAGAAAAGGGTGGGAAGTGACTCTGGGCTGCAAGGCCAGGCCCTTGCCTCCATTCAGGGTGCCTGTAATGTCTGGCCTGGGGGAGAGGGCCTGGCCGTGAGCTCCCACCCTGCTGTAGGGCGAGGAGGTTCCCTCCCATTTCAGAGAGGAGGCCTTTCCAGAGACCTTCCTTTCCATGGAGAAGACCTGAGCTCTATTCGTCTATTCCCAGCCCAGTCCTGCAAGCTTTTCTCTGGGCCTCAGCCTCCTCTTCAGGAGAGGCAGGAAGCTTGCAGAGATTCCCCCGGTTCAGCCATCCTGTGAGTCTGGGACTGAGTCACCTGGGTGCAAGGCAGGGCCATGGGAAAGGGCCCAGCCTGGGCTGGCCATGCCAGCTGAGGAGGCTGCCTGGACCCAAGGATTCGGCAGCTGGAGAGGGAGGCCAGGTCCTGGAGGATGACAGGAAGCCAGGAGAACCAGGTGCTAAGGGCGGCCAAGCCTTGGTCTCTCGCCATGGCAGAGAAGGCAGCGATAGGCCCAGGTCAGGGCTCAGCAGCCTCAGACACCAGGTGCCAGTGTGGGAACACACCAGGGGCTGTGCCTGCGTGTGAAAACACACATGTGCACAGGGACGAGCACATGATGTGCAGGGAGGAGGCACCTCCTTGCCCTCACAAGGTCACCTTGAAGGAGAGTTTGCCACATTGCTCAGTCCAACTGGCACAAGCCACCAGCAACCAGATGCCCATCACACAGAAGACTGGTTCTTCCCATTTCCTCTCCCCACCTGGCTCCCCAGCTCCCAGGGGCTTTGCTCAGCATCTTCCTGCAGGGCCAGGACCCCCCATCCTGCTCCTCACACCTCCTGTGCCTCTTGCCCTTTGGCTGCTTCCTCTGGGGGGCCTGCTTCTCTGTGCCAGTCCCTGCTGGGCCCCAGCCTTGCCAGACCTGTCTACTCTGGGCTCTAGGGGCCCTGCTCCTCTCTGTGGCTCAGAACAAGTCTGGACTTGCAGCTCAGCCTGGTGGTCGTTCCACCCCTGCTTGGAGCCATCTTCGTGGGACACAGGCCTCTCCTGGGGCCCAGGCCTTGGATTCAGTGCACATGTGCTCTCTGTGCTCTCCGCAGGCCCAGGGCTGCTGGCCCCTCCCAGGGAGAGGTCAAGGGGAGTCATGTCAGTCTCCTGCAAAGAGCCAGGGATGGAGATGGCCGTGGGAGCACCAGACTCCCCTTTTGGCCCCTCTGGGGGTGCCAGAGCCAGGCCGGTTGCCGGGGTGCTCCCCGGACTGCACAGCTCCACCCCACTCTGCCTCTGCGCGAGTTCCTCCTCACTGGCAGTCTGTCTGGTGCTTTGGTTTCCCTGAAACAAGAGAGTGGTCCAGCTGGCTGGTGAATTCAGTGCTTGCGTCCCCAGCACGACCCATCCTGTGCCCGAGTACCCACCTCCTGACTCTCCAGCTCCTCTTTGTCTTCCTTCATGTCCCACCTGTAGAAACACAGCACATGGCAGCCCCTATGCTTACCACACCCCACTTTATGTCACCCCTCCACAGCCCCAGTAGCCCATGTCTCCAGGGAGAAGCCACACCCAAGGGTCTCAGGGTGCGATCAATGAGGCTCTAGGATGCTTCCCTCCCAGCCTGGCTTTTCCCCCCAAATCCAGCCATTTCCTCTAAATGTGACCCACCTGGCCCCATCCTGGGTCCCCAGCTGCTGTTTATGGCCAAGTCTACAGCACCTTGAGTTCTGTGGGGACTCCAGGCATGTCCCTGCCTGCACTGCCTGGGAAAGGCGCACCTTGCTTCCCGGGGGAAGGGAGCTCCTGTAATTACCACTGGCCTCCCTGGGCACCAGACTCTTGCTGCTGCTGCCTCTGCCAATGGCCTCTCCCAGCAGCTCATTAACCTGCTGCCAGGCAGCAATGAGTCAAGAGGCAGCAGCCCTGGGGATGGAGCATGTACCTAGACCTGTGCCAGTCCAGGAAATTGGGACACCCAGATGCGTGCCTTGATTTTGTCCCCTGCCACCTGTTACCTTCGGGCCCTGCCAGTCAGCCTCTCCTTCCCTCGGGCTTTGCTGCCTGTGGCTGATGCCATCGAGGGTCTGCCAGATTGCCCACCTCGACCTGCAAGAGATGGTCCACAAATCCAGGGGAGAAGAGAGCCATAGCAGCAGCCCCCCGCCCCCTGACGGGCCCCTGCTCATCCCCCACCAACTCACCTTTTCCATCAGGGGGCAATGGTGGGGGCTGTAGCTTCCGGTGGCTCCTGGGACCTATGGGGGGCAAAGGAAATGGAGAAAGGGTGGGGGGGCCAAGGATCCCAGGCAAGAACACAGGTTCTTCCAGCACCAGGAAGCTGTCAGTCCTCAGCCCAGTCATGGGCTTTCTGCCCCCCAAAAGAGCCCTGGGCTGGGGGTTCCTGTGTTTGCTTTGCCACACTCTGGCCAGGTGGCTTAACCACCCTCTCAGGGCCCCAGCTTCCTATGTGTAAAATGAGGGGACCACAAATCCACAGAGCTGTTCCTTCAGCAGGCCAGGGGCAGGGCCACTGGGACTTCACCCGCCCAAGGCCAGTACTTGAAAGGACCCCAGGGCAGGCCGCCACTGAGCCTCCTCCAGGGTCAGAGCCCAAGCAAGAGCTGTGGGCTCAGAGGGCAGAAGGAGAGGTCTTCGTGCCCCCCTCTGACAGTGAGGGATGCGCCGTTTCAGCTCTGAAAAGAAGTAGGAAATGAAGAGACAGAGAAAAGAGAGGACAAGAGGGGCAAGGGGTGAAAAAATCCGACGAAGGAGGGATGAAGTGGGTGTCGGCTCACCCCTTCTGCTGCCCACCCTGGCCGGGCCCTCTTCCCCAGGCTTGCTGCAGTCCCGGAGCCTGCGCGGACAGAGCGGGAGTCAGGCTGCTGGTAGCAGGGAGGACAGAGGCTGCCGCAAGCCCTGCCCTGACACCACCTCCCCCAACCCCAGCCCCAGAATTGAGGGTAGCAGGGAGATGATGGTTCCAAGAAAGTTGGGGGACCCAGTGCCGCCACAGAGCCCTGAGCCCAGGGCCTGACCAGAGGGCCCAGGCAAGGTCCTCTCCATCCTGGGGAGGGTCCCACCAGCCCTCCAAGCAGCACCCACAGTTAGCCCTGCCCCAGTACCACAAGCATGTCAGCCCAGCCAGCCGCCTAGCCCTGCCACCCACGTGGGCTTGGCCTTGTCCAGGTCCCATGGGCGGCGCCAGTCACCCTGTGCATCTCTGTGCCGGGCGAGGCGGGCCAGGTCGATCTGCTCCCGCTCCTGCTTCCACTGGGCGTAGTCCCAGCCTGCCTCTGGGGGCTCCCCCACTGGCTGTCTCCGGCGCTCCCGAGCACCCTGCAAGGAGAAGACACTCAGCACCATGGGGTAGAACCAGAAAGAGGCTTAGAGCAGAGATCCGGAGATTCTCCTAAGCCCTTCCTCTCTCAACGTTTCCACATCCGCATCTGGTCTGTTCCCTCTCTAATGCACTGTGTTTGCCGTGGGCATGGTTTCCATCCACTTGTCAGCTGTATGTTTTGGGCAAGTAGCTCTCTGTGTATCATTTCCTCATCTGTAAAGTGGGGATAGCAACTGCACCCACCCACAGGGTTGCTGCAGGGGTGTGTAGACAGGCCCGGAGTGGGAGGGGCAGCCGAGGCTGTGAGCAAGAGCAAGGACTAGGGTCTGCTGCCACCTAGAGGTCACACCTGGCACACGGCCAGTCCCCTACACCCTCCTGCCCTCTTTCCTACTCCCCTGCCACCCGTGGGGCTAGCTGGGCTAGGGGATGGATCACATGTCTAGCTTCGACTGTTTCTCACTGCAAGGCCCACCCAAAGCAGAGACTGGCCAGAGAAAGGAAGGAGGGATGGGAATTCTTGCAGGTGCTGCTTCTGCCATGTCCTTGAAGAGGAGGGACATATCTGACTCAGCTTCTCTGCCTCCCCCAAATGGGACATCCACATTCAAGTCCCTGTCCCCTCTTGAAGATGTACCTTCCATGCAGAATCCGAGCTGATGGCCACTGGTGTGGAGGGGCTCCGGCCCCCACGCCCTCCAGGTGACCCATCTGTGCCCTGGTTCCTTGCTTTGCTGGGCTTTTCACTTACGATCCGCTTGGCCTGGGGAAGGTGAAGATGGGCGGTGTGGCAGAGCCAGGGAAGGCGGGGCCGCTGCCTGCGCTTCCCCACCCACCCTGCTCACCTCAGCTTTGTTTTCCATGGTCACAGCCAGCTCCACCCGCTGCCCCAGGCAGAAAGTACCCCTGTAGTCCTCTGTGTCCTCCTGCTCAAGCATCTCATTGGCCACTTGGGGTCCGAGGGTGCCCCTTGTCCAGTTCCTGCTGACCACTCGCTTCTCCTGCAGAATGAAGACCCTCAGGCCACACGGGCAGCACTGGGCAGGACCTGGGTGCTGGGTCCGCTGGGTGGTTCCCCAGGCCTGGGTTCCAGCCCCAGCCCTCCTGGAATGCCCATGGAGGAGCTGACTCCCACAAGGAGTTCACATGCCAGTGGCATTAGGTTATCCAGGGCTCAGGGCCACCCTGGGGCCCAAGATGCCACAGTGGCCCGTCATCTCTGAGCTGGGAAGTCCAGAGCACTCAGACAATGAGGCTTTGTCCCTCAGACACTATTCCCTGCATTCACTCCCAACTTCTCTGTCCCTACACCCTCCAGGGCTTTTAGGAGCAGTCTGCTTTGGGGCATAGGTGCAGGGCTGTGGGACTAGAAACTGGCACGAGGCTTCCACTGGGGGGCCTTTCAGATGTGGCCTTTGGTGGGAGACAGCAGTGACCTGGCTGCAGAAGGTTGGGACCTGGGCATGCATCCCAGAACAGCAATTGGGAGAAAGGGAGTAGGGACAACTGTCCTCCCCTGACATGGGCTGGGGCCCCAACTCCTTGCCACCCACCCTATGTCCCAGAATGAGGCTTACACCGGGAACCTGGCTGATGGTGACAGTGAGGCCATCAGGTCGGAGGAGCCCCGGCGTGGTCACAGACATGCCCCCCTGCTCCGCCTGCCGACGGTCTTCCTGGATCTCCTGTGGGAGGGCCCGGGGTCAGCACAGGCCACGGCCCCCCAGGTGCACAGAGACACAGACGCTGACAGGCCTACACGGAAAGACACCAGTGGGACACCAGGGGGCAGAGGCACCATATCACAAGTCCCTGGACGCTGAGCAAGCCCCTGAGAGGGGCCATGCCCACCCTAACCCTGGCCCCAGGCCCAGAGCCAGCCCTGAGTCCGCAGGGAGGGACCACCATGCAGGCATATGCGAGTCAGCCAGGGAGTGGCAGCCAGGTCGGTCCTCCCAGCCCCTGTCACAGCCTACTCACCTGGTACCTGCGCAGCAAGGCCTGGTTCTTCTTGCGCAGGGCAACTATTCTCCGATCCAGCTCTGCATCCTTTTCCTCCTGCCTGCTCATTGGGGACTCGACTCTGTGAGGCCCCTGCAGAATGCAGGGAACCCAAGCTCCTGATTACTGGGCCCACCCCTTACCAGTTCCCCAACTTTCATGTTTGCCCACCCTACCTTATTCTTACCACGCAAGGAATAGACCCCAGACCCACAGCTAAGGTCACACAGGAAGGAAGGGGGTCACTCAGGGAGATAGACCAGAGAAGGCCCCAAGCCCCCATTCCAGCGAGGCCTGTCTGCCTATCTCTGCCTCCTCCGGGACTCAGGTCAGGGCCTAAAACCCAGAGCCACAGCTCCCAGCAGTGGGCTGCCCCTCCCCCAGCTCTCCAGGGAGCTTCGCTGCTGAGCAGATCCTGGAATGGGAGTTATAAATGGCTCTGGCAGTGGAACCTGCTGTGACTGGGAAGCTGCCAGGGGATTCGGGAGGTCGAGGGGAGGAGGTGTTTGGCTTCTAGATCCAGAATCACAGAAAAAAGAGAGGCCCTGGCTCTGTCCTGGGCTCTCAGGCCCTGGACCCCACTCGGCACGCCTGTGCCCAGCCTGTAGGAAAGAGCAGCTCCCACAGGCCCAGCCTCTCCAGGCCGTGAGCTGCTGGCAGTCAGGGCAGGAACAAGCCAGCTCCGGTTGACAGCCCCAGGCAGGGAGCCACCCCGGGCAAGCCGAGTCTCTGCATCAAGATCCCGGGGTCCTCTCTGTCTGGCTTCGGGGTCTCTGATGTAGCCAGTGTCCCTGCCCAGCAGTCCACCCGCCCAGTCACAACCCTCTTCCTCCCAGGCCCAGCTGTCCCCAGCTGCCCCTAGAGTGTGGCTACCCAGTATCCCAGCCCGCTCCCAGTCCCAAGAAGGCCCCCTCCAGAGGCGAAGTGCCACTCACAGCCGAGTGCATGGCAACAGCAACAGCGGGCACCGAGAGAATTCCAGAGCAGCCCCTGGGGGAACCAGAGCGGGAGGGAAGCTGAAGCCACCGGAACCAGGCCTCTGCCGGCCTCTCCCTGCCGGCTTCGCTGCTCAGCACACGAGATCATGTTGTGATTACAAAAGACTCCTCTGGGCTCCCCGCCAGGAACGCTGCGTCCGCCACCCCCACCCTTCCACTCTCAGAGGGCGAGGACCGGGGCACTGGCAGCCAGCTGGTCCTGCCCAGCACCTCTCCCTGTCCTGCCCCAGTGTCCCCAGACAGACCTGCAGGGACTTCTCCCTGGTGGGTCGAGCCTACACAGGAGGCCTGGCTGCCCATGCCTGCCTTCACCTGAGGTCCCGCACCCCAGTAGGACCCCAGCCTGGGCCTGTAGGCCGCCATCCCTCCCATTAGTAGAAAAAGGCCTACAGGACACAGCCCAGACTATTAGGCTGCTTGGTCTGTGGGCCCCACCTCAAATGTGCCTCCCTCTCCTGCTGCTCTCCTCATCGGCACAGGTGTAAGTATTTCAGGGGATCAAAAAGCTCCCCTAGGTCACCAAATACTACCACATTCTGAAATAACACCATTAGCCATTCATTTCTTTAGGTTGGACATTGTCTCCTCTGTACAGTCATATGCCAAATAATGTTTCCGCCAATGACAGACTGCATATACAAGAGTGGTCCTGGAAGACGAAAACAGGGCTAAAAATTCCTATTGCCCAGATGTGGTAGCCTTCGTAAAGTTGTCGTGCAACACATGACTCACATGTTTGTGGTGATGCTGGTGTACACAGACCTACTGCACTGCCGGTCAGATGAAAGTATAACACGCACAATTGCGTACAGTATATAGCACTTGATCATGGCAACAAACAACTGTGGTACTGGTTTATGTGTTTACTATACTATGTTTTTTTTATTTTAATAAATTTTTAATTTTTAGTTGTCCAATTAATTTCTTTCTAATTTTAGTAGAGACAGGGTCTCGCTCTTGCTCAGGCTGGTTTCGAACTCCTGAGCTCAAACAATCCGCCAGCCTCGGCCTCCCAGAATGCTAGGATTACAGGCGTGAGCCACCGCGCCCGGCCTATACTATGTTTTTTATCGTTATTTCTTCTACTTATTAAAAAAAAAAATTAGCTGTAAAACAGGTTCAGGAAGGTCTTTCAGGAGGTATTCCAGAAGGCACTGTTGTCATAGGAAATGACAGTTTCATGCGTGTTATTGCCCCTGAAGACTTTCCAGAGGGACAAGAGATGGAGGTGGAAGACAGTGATATTGATGATCCTGACCCTGTCTAGGCCTAGGCTAATGGGCGCCTTTGTGTCTTAGGTTTTAACAAAAAAAGCTAAAAAGTAAAAAAAAAAAAAAAAAAATTTTAAATAGCAAGAAGTTTATAGAACAAGTATATAAAGAAAGAAGACATTTTTGTACAGCTGTACCATGTGTTTGTGTTTTAAGTTAAGTGTTATTAAGAAAGAATAAAAAAGATTTTAAAAATTTAAAAGTTTTTTTATTTTTTATTCTTTGAGACAGGGTCTTGTTCTTTTGTTCCAGCTGGTGTTCAGTGGCACAATCATAGCTCACGGTAACCTTGAACTCCTGGGCTCAAGCAATCCTCCCGCCTCAGCCTCTCAAAGTGATGGGATTACAGGCGTGAGCCAGCACATCCATCTTAAAAAGTTTACAAAGTAAAAAAGTTACAGTAAACTGAGATGAATTTATTACTAAAGAAAGAAAAATACTTTTTATAAACTTAGTGTAGCCTAAGTACTAAGTACAGTGTTTATGAAGTCTACAGTGACGTCCCAGACCTTCATATTCCCTCACCACTCACTGACTCACCCAGAGCAACTTCTAGTCCTGCAAGTTCCATTCATGGTAAGTGCCCTGGAAGGTGCACCATTTTTTTAATTTTTTATACCATATTTTTACTATATCTTTTCTATGTTTAGGTATGTTTAGATACAAAAATACTTCCCATTGTGTTACAATTGCCTGCAGTATTCAGTGCAGCAACGTTCCTAGGAGCAATAGGCTACACCATACAGCCTAGGTGTGTAGCAGGCTGTACACCTCTCTGACTCTGATAAAGGAAGCAGCCCTTTTCAGAAAAGCTTCTCCCCAGATCTTGCACATAAGCGGAGGCTGGTCTCCCTGTCTAGGGCCCAGCCCACCTGGCAGTCCCTCCCTAGAGCCTCTGGGACCTGAGGTTCGGGGTGCTGAGAGGTGGGGTGGTCTCTCTGTATTAGGGGTGCCTGAGTCTGTTTCAGTAGTTCGAAGGCTCTGCGTCCAGGCCCTGAGATGAGGATCAGAGGTGCCTGTATTCCCCACAACTATGATGGACCTCGCCCCAGGGTCCCTAACCCCATACCACAACTCATCCCCTCTGTCTCCAGAGCAGAAAGCCCAACTGCCTTCCCGCTCCTCCCAGACCAGCCAGGCAGACAGAGGTCCAGCCTCGACCCCTCTGGGACTGCCCTTTCCTGCCCTCTCTTCCCTGACTACCACGCTCAGCCCCTTTCCTGTCCAGGCCTTCCCACAGCACGCCTGGCCCCACATCCCATCCCTGCAAGTTCCCATCCTGCTTGGAAATGCCACTGCGGACTCTTTTCCCTTCCTGCCGGATGTCCCCACTGAGTCAGACTCTTCCCAGCAACAGTGACACACCAGGCTCCTCTATGTGGGCCCCTTATGCACACGCCCTCCTTCTCCCGCCTCCTTCTCCCTCTCTGTGCCCCAGCCCATTCTCAGAAGGATTCAGAAGCCTCCAGGCGCCTCACGCTCCCCTCCATCTGCCCCACACTATGATGTTGGCACTGGGAGGTCTGCAGAGCACTGGCCAGGGAGGGAGACCTGATCTTCTCCACCCTCTCCGGAACCTAGGCCCCCAGACCAGGTCTGCGGAGGAGGCTACGGGAAAAAGGCAGGAGAGCAACAGGCACAGGTAGAAATCCAGCCATCCCTAGGGAGAGTGATCCAGTTCTTCTGGAAGACCCTGCCAGAAGAGACTCCCGTAACCTACCGGCAAAGGCCTCCTGGCCCATCCAGCTGGAGCCCTACATGCCCAACCACGACAAACCAGCAGTCAGAGAGGAACCCACAGGTGCTGGCCATGTGCTTCCCCAGCATTATTCACACGAGACTTTGCACCTGTGACCAGCCCCCACCGTCTCCCACTTCTCCAGAATCTGTGGCTTCCCAGTCTGCTCTCCCATTGGACAGAGACACTGTGAGGGCAGGAATGATGTGCCAAGTGCCTGTGCATCCCCGGAGCCTGGGACAGTGCCCCTGCATACGACAGACCCTCCATGAGCACTTGCAAAATGAAGGCATGAGTGAATAAACCTTGGTGCCCCGTGCATGGCTGTGGGCATCCTATGCATAGGCTGTGACTGCCCTTCTGTCCACCTGGAATTCCCACAGCCCTGAAGGAGCTGGTAGGTGGTAAAGGCCCCTAAGAGTGCCCCCCCTGTGCAGGGGGGAAGTTCACTGGAAGGAGGGGAGGCCAGAGGAGGAACAGCCCCTATTCCCCAGTGAGACACTGTTTCTGTTTCTCTGTGCCACCACCGGGGGGCAGCAGAGGGGCAAAGCCTGGAAAGACTCAGGGAGGTTTTCCCCTCCTCCACCTGATCCCCAGCTCCTGTCCCCCCAAGTCTCTGCCACCTGCTTCCTAACTCCATCACACTAGAGAATGTATCCAGTTGTAGAAGACTTAGTTTAGTGATGAGGAAACTGA